AAAAAAAAAAAAAAAAAAAAAAAAAAAAAAAAAAAAAAAAAAAAAAAAAAAAAAAAAAAAAAAAAAAAAAAAAAAGTCACTCCTTCAAGCTCCTGTGCATCGCTTGAAACAAGCTGAAAACTGGAAAATATATAGTTTGTATCACTGTTTGTTGAATTAACCAGTCGCGCGCCATCTCCATTCATCTTCCCGTCCTGTGAAACGGTCAGGCTTGGTTCCCACTTTCTCCATTGTAGCCTTCATATTCAATTCAAAGCTTAAACCTCTCTGTGATTAACCTCTTATTACATTTTTCTTTGATTTTGCTATTTGGAAACCATTTCGGATTTCTTTCTCGTCTATTTTGATACTTTGATGCTAAGTTTTCTCCTCTATAATCATTTTTGTTTTACTGCTCTCAGAAAAAGCTCTGAATGCTGGAATGGCGTTTTGTAGAGCTGCAAAACGTTCCCTTGGATTTGTGATTTCTAATCGGCTGTTGAATAATGCGAGTCGGCATGGATTTTCCAGTTCTACTACTACTAGAGCGTTTGTTGTTAAAGGCGTTCAATATGGAGGTTCAGTTCCTTACACTCAGGATGCTACTTCTGCTCTTAGTTCGAGACTTAGTCTCTTGAGAAGATTTAGTGTCGAAACTCCTGCTGTCTCGGACCAGATGAGTCTCATAAAGCAGCTGAGAGAAAGAACTAGTGCACCTATTAAAGATGTCAAGGCTGCTCTTATTGATTGCAATTGGAATATTGGTAAGGCATCGTGATAGTTTCTGAAGCTTTCTTTTGCTTTCAGTTTCATTTGCAGATATATAATGTTGAAAGTTAATTACTTGGATTTACAGAAGCGGCACAAACGGAACTGAGAAAAAGAGGAAAGGTTCTGGCCCTGAAAAAATCTTCTCGAACTGCCGCTGAAGGTCTACTTGCCTTGGCTCAAAATGAAACCAAAGCTGTTGTTATTGAACTTAATTGCGAGACTGACTTTGTTGCTAGGAACGAGATTTTTCAATACTTGGTAATTTTTTCATTTCGCCTTCATTTTTATGCAACATTTCAATTTGAATACGTGTGAATTTCTATGCATGTAAACAATCGTTTGCAGATTGTACGAACTTGTATAGTTTTTTTTTTTTTATTCAGGAAGCCTTGTTCTTTTGCTTATAAGATATCGTATAATTTTTATCCAGGCCCTATCTTTAGCAAGGCAAGCATTGTTGTCTGAAAGCTCGTCTCATAACGTTTCTGGGACATTTCCTGTTGGTCTAGAGCAATTGGAGGTAATATGTTTGTCAAAATTATTTCGCTTGAATTCTTGTAACTTGGTCTCCTATTGTATGGATGCAAGTAATGATGAGTGAAAACTAGAAAACATGAGTGGCATTGATTAGATATCACAGTTTAGGAGCCCTTGAAAAGGTATTTTCCGTTGTCTCCTTAGTTTATTAATTTCTCGGTAAAGGATAACATTCACATTCAACTCTAGGAGGAATTTTTTTTTTTTTTTTATAAGAAAGGAAAAATTCATTAATCAAAATAAGACGAATTGGGGAGGATCATTAGACTGGAGATGCTGAGTCTACTTAGGTCTCTTTTTTATGTTCTTGATTGCTATGCTGTGAACTGCTGTAATTCTCTGACGATGCCTTATGTAGATGTGGTATGGAGAGCTGATAGCTATACTCAAAACAATGTCCCCGTCTATTTTTTCTCATAAATAATCGTTTCCCTTTTGAGTGCTTAAAACCAGGTGTAAATGGGTATTATCGTTTCTCTAATTTGGACTGTGCTCCATTGAAAAACTTGGATAATATTCTTGTAAGTTCGATTAAAATCAAATGCAAATAGATATCTTTCGGTTTTTATACATTTCTAATTGAATCAGAGTTGAATAAACCTTATTTAGAATATCTAATCTATATTTGTAATGTAATTCTTTCCGCTTGTCAGGGAATGAAATTAAATCTTGAACACCCAAAAATTAATGGAGAAACAACAGCTCTTAATGCAGTTACTGAAGTGGCAGGCATCATGGGAGAGAATATTAAGCTAAGACGAGGTTTTTTGATGTCTGCATCTTCAAGTGGTGTTATTTCTACATACCTCCATACAAGTCCTCAACCAGGTACTTGAACTGTCTTGTCCTGCTTTAGAGATGGAATATTTGTTTCCTTGGGTGACTGGCATTCAGGTTTTTCGGCTTTGAAAAGCATTAAACATATCTTGAATGGTGCATGCTTTTGCATTTAACACCAATGGCGGTCATTTTATGAATGCTTGGAGTGGCTTCTAGCCTTCTTTTCTTATATAATTTTCTCGAGCGTTTAGTGTGTGGATGAGGGGGGTGGATCTGATCTAGTGGAGTGGGAGGGGGTGGTATGCCTGTGGAGCTAGGAGGTCCAAGGATTGGGTGCCTAAGATTACATAACGAGGCCTTGTTGGGCAAGTGGTTGTGGCAGTTCTTTTACAGAGCCTAATGTTTTGTGGCACTAGGTTATAGTAAGTCGATATGACCAACATCTTTTTAAGTGGGTGACAAGTGGTGGTATTAAAGGTCCTTTTTTGAAACAAGAGACAAACTTTTCATCAAGGAAATGAAAAGACTAGTGCTCAAAATACAAACTCTAATGAGGAGCGGAAAAAAAACCATAAAAAAAAAATGAAGTAAAAAGAAAGGAGTTGCTAAAAGTCAAACGTCCACCTCTTGATAAAGGTGAATTTTTTCCATCTGTTTATCTATTTTTGAATCTTGGCAAGAACAGGCTGCTCAAAATACAAACTCTAATGAGGAGCGGAAAAAAAACCATAAAAAAAAAATGAAGTAAAAAGAAAGGAGTTGCTAAAAGTCAAACGTCCACCTCTTGATAAAGGTGAATTTTTTCCATCTGTTTATCTATTTTTGAATCTTGGCAAGAACAGGCTGCCAAAAAGAGATCTTTTTGGGGTATCCACCAAGAGGAAGGCCAAGATAAAGAAACGACATTGACTCAACCTTACAACTAAGCCTTGTGGCAAACTGAATCAATTTTGATTCTTCCACATTTATTCCACATAAATGCAGATTTTGCTCCATTAGCCTTAGAACACCATTCAGCACAGGTGAAAATTTTCAAAAAAGAATGCCTTACATCACTCTCTCTCCAAATTGGTGTCCATTATGCAAGAAAGAAAACGAATCACAAAGTCACTTGTTTATGCAATGCACATACGCTCAGAATTTCTAAACAACGATTCTCAATATGTTCGGATGGCATCTCACATTTCCTAGGGAGGTAAAGAATTTTTTGGATATGGCCTGAACATACCACTCTTTCAAGAACGCAAAAGCCCTATTATGGAAAAACCTCATCATGGCTTTCTTTTGGAATTTGTGGAAAGAAAGAAATCAGAGAATATTTACAGAAGAGACACAGACCTACATAAAACTTTTCGACAATGTTGTTTACCAAACTATATCTTGGTGTAAATGGTCTAATATTTTTACTTCCTATAGTTATACCTTCCTCCTTGCAAATTGGGAAGGTCTTTTGTAAACACCATGGATTATACATCCCTCTTGTAAATGTCTCTCATCAATGAAATTGGCTCTTATAAAAAAATAATAATAATAAATATGAATGGAGGGCTCCTTATGGGCATCAGTCACTAGGTCTTTTTGTAATTATGATCTCGGTTTGATTTTGTTGGACTAGAGTCCCTTTGTGTAGCTTTTAAAACTAACTGTTTGTTGAGCTTGCTTCTTCTTCTTCTTCTTCNTTTTTTTTTTTTTTTTTTTTTTTTTTTTTTTTTTTTTTTTTTTTTTTTTTTTTTTTTGTATGCCGTTATATTTTCTTTCATGTTTCTCAATCAAGGTTTGGTTTCCTAAAAAATAAAAGAAATTGTGCATAATGACAATTGGGACTTAAGGATGAAAATTTTTCTTTATTTAAATTAAATGACATTTTGCAAATGGGAAGATTAGTATTGACTAAGTTCGGTAAATTTTTTGTCTTAACTGTCATTTTGTGTAATTTTCAGGTTTGGGTCGAATTGCTGGAATTTTATCTCTTGAAGTCGAGGGTGGTAGTTTACAGGCGGATGCTCTTCAACGTGTTGGATCAGAAATAGCGATGCATATAGTGGCTGCAAAGCCATTGTTCTTGACAAAGGAACTTGTTTCTTCTGAAGCATTAAAGAACGAACGTGAAATTCTCCAGACTCAGGTCTGTGTACCATGTAGAATTTATTAAGTTTTAGTTTATTGCTTGTTCAAGATATTTTCTTTTCCCATCCATTATTTCCTTCCCCCACACCCTTTTTCAATTTCAATATTACATTACATATCTGTTATCTGTCATTTTTTAAGAACAAGATGCACACTTTTTATTGATAAACGAGAAGAAGCAAAAACTTCTCCAAGGACGCAAACTCTCGAAGGAGAAAAAGATATCAGTTGTCTGTCATTTGTATTGAATTTGTATTTGGATCAGTTTGGTGATCTATTGTTGCTTCAGAATGGAGCCAGTTGACAAACTGAGTGCACACGCACAAAGAAGTCATGAAATTTTGATCTTGAGGACAGTGAATTGGCACTAAACACAAAAAAACACGTCAAATTTGTGTCTATTTGTTATGTTTATTTATTTATGAACTCAGACAAGGTGGGACGATGTGGGGCACGCCCACATCAATGGGAACTTCAAATGAATTCATGGACAGAAAAAATAAACCCTAGTCAGCGGTTACTTTCAAATGAAATTCCTAGTAACCATCCTCGAAATACAGAGTTACATATTTTATTAAATTATAAATTTACCTTTATGCTAACAGGGTTACGTTGATTAGTTGTATTTTAAAAAGTTCTAATGGGTCATTGAACTTTTAGGCACGTTTAATGTAGTCTATTCTTCAAAAAGATATTTTAAAGACTTTGTTTTTTGGATGGTGGTGTTTGCGTTCTTTTCCTGGACTTATCATTGTTACAGTTGTTTTTTTCACTGATAAATTTTGATGTTGACTAGTTTGTGGTATTTGATTTCTTATTTTAGTCATATAATTTTTTATGATTGTTTAATGTTATATTTATATTAATGGATCATATGTCAGGCTGAAACTTCTGGCAAGTCTGGAATGGCCCTAGAAAAAATGGTTGAAGGTCGGTTACGGAAGTACATGGAAGAAGTTGTTCTTATGGAGCAAAAGTTTATTGTCAATGATAGTATTAATATAAAGGTGAGGTGCCAATCATATTCTCAATTTATATTTTCTCAGGAATCAATCTAGTACGCTGATAATATTGAAAATTAATCATCAACCCAAATAAAAAGATGGTCTGCAAGTGTATTGCTAATGAATGGCGAGAGTGTGTTTTATTATATTGAATTTTGATGCTTTTGTTTGAGATTTCAAATTTGTGCCTTTTTGCGTGTTCTTTTAAATATTGGTTATATTGGTACATTTAATGTCCAAGTAGAATGCCATATTAGTTAATTTATAGATTTTGAAGTTATTCCCATTTTATTTTGTGCTAACTGCCATGGATTACTAAAAGAGTACGATGTAAATTAGATACTTTGAAGTTATTGGTTAACACAGACACTTTAGTCTAGATAGCGTGTCCATATCCAACACTTGCAAACTCCGACGTTTGTTGGACACATATCCAACACTTGTTAGCACAATATTTGTACAAAGTCAGTATAGGTTCACCATTTGTTAGACACATCTGAACACTTGTTAAGTATAAACTTATGGACTTTGAATTCTCTTCTTGTGTAAAAAATAATAAATGACATTAATAAATATATTTTAATAAACATGTCCTTATCATGTCCATGCCCTAGATTTTTTTAAAATGACATTTCATAGTGTCCATGTCATGTCATATCCATGTCTCATGTTTGTATTTGTACTTCTAATCTGGAAACCTTTTATTAATGTTCAAGAGAAGATAAATTATATCCAGATGAATATGGCCAATCTTATTTTTCTATCTTCTGTTTGAGTGTGCATTCACTCATCGGTTGGCTATGCTTTACTTCGAAAACCTTGCGAGATCTAAATTTATTGTTTGAGGGCAACTGAAGAACATAAACATTTACCTAATGAAAATTAACACAGTCGTCCCACTTTTATTGGAAAGGTCCTAGAGGGCTAACTGTATAAAACTGTGTCTTTTTTATTTTATACACACACGACCATTATTCTATATCAGAACATTGCCATTTTTTTTCTCTGAAAATCATGACGGATTTGGTGATGGGCTCATAAGGTAGGATTCAAAACAGGAAAGATTAAAGGAGGAACATTTAAGCGATTAATTATCAAATAATAATGGGGAGGAGTCCACTTTGAACAAAGATCTCAGAAGCTGCAAATTCATTGTAAATGTGTGTGAACTTCATTTGTAAATGTGTGTGAACTTCATTTGTAAATGTTAAATTGTATATTGCCTATTTCTTCCAAGACTGGATTATTACATATCAAGCATGCGATTTATATTTATATTTGTCATAGAACTCTTGATACATGTGCTTCTTAGATCTCCAGTTTAGTTAAAAAATATGTTGAAACTATTTTTCAGACATTGTTGGATAACCTGTCCAAGGAAGTGGGTTCGCCAGTGAAGATTGGTAACTTTCTAAGAGTGGGAGTCGGGGAAGGAATTGAAAGGTACACTACTCATATATGTCATAGTGATCTTATGATGTATCATTCTTTCTGAATGGAAGGATTTCACTGACCAGTTACGCTTCTCTTCATTTCTTCATTTACTTAAAGATTCCTAGTCCTGTTTGACGTGTCATAATTATCATTTATTATTAGTAACATCTGAGGTCTTGGGAACTTTGCTGAAATAAGAAATTCAAACCCAAAGTTGGAAGGTAGCAAAATGACTTCCTAGTTGGCTATGCCGAGACTGTGATTGCAAAAGACCTAATCTATAGATTATCAAATTTAAATTACAAAAGTAGCTCCTGAACTCTATTCGAAGTCTTTATTTAATGTAGAGTTTCAATCAATGTTTTCAAATGCTAAACGTGGGCTCAAGGCTTTTTTTTTTTTTTTTTTCCCTCTAAGGAACCAGGGGAGCTGAAGCCTCAATTGAGTTTTAAAAAAAAACATAAAATGATGAAGTTATGCATTATAAAACATAATGACTATATAAAGGTACAACAGGGAAATAAATCTGTTAAAACTCAGTATTGTTATAACAAAATCAACTTTTTAAAATTTTGTCTTTAACCTTTGTGGTAATAGTCTAAGTTACCTAACTCATAGTATGTTAGAAAATCAAGATCATATTTATAAATCTGTATCTTGGTATAAATTGCCTAACCACTTCTCTTCCTATAGTTATGCTTCTCTATTAACGGATTGGAAAAACCTCTTATAATATTTCTGAAGAATAGAGAACAAATGAATATTATTCTATTTCAAGGTGTAGAGGCTCCAATCCTCTGTGTATTTCATGGGGGCACAAGTCTCTTATGATCGTAACGAGACGTATCACTCAAATTTAAAAATCCTCTCCTAATACATAAGAGCATATCCCTCAAAGCCTTTAAAACATTGGTTTCAAGCCAATGTTTTTAAAGAATTTCCACGACACTGATATGTTCAGAGATCTTCTCTCTTTTTAAATGATTTATAAATTGATGAATTGCTTTTGGGATACTGTCAGGACCTGGTGGGTCTAATTTTTAATATTTTCACTGTAAATTGCAGGCTGGATACATCAGATTCATCTGAACCTGTGGCTCAGGCTGCATAAACATAGGTAAGGCTTTGCGGGGATGTTATAGTGTTGATCTAAAGCTGCTCTTTATAATCGTAGTCTAAATTCTCCTTTTGGCTCCTCGGACTTCACTGACCAAGCATCTTAATATAGTTCCTTATCGATGTTCTTTTAGGAGTAAAATTTTCTTTTGCTGGGTTTAATCAAGATATTAAGTGAGATCATTGTAATAATCACTAATTGACTCAAATAAGACTATTTACCACATTTGTAGTTAGGGGGAGTGGAAGACTAATTATTGATATACATCATCGATCGTTCTAGATATTAACCAAGACAATTGCCATAATCACTAATTGATGCACATTTCATATTTTTCACATCTGTTATTTTAATTTTTTAGGCCATCACATTTATAACATTGGGTCTCTGCATTTTGCATAGGTCTGGTACTAGCTCTCCTATTTCTCAGCATCTCAAGGCTCATTTCCTGCCAAAATTGTTCTTGGTAGTTAAGTTCCATTGCATCCTCAGTGCAGAAATTTTCAGGTGCAAGCATTACAAGGATTGTATCTATTGAGCCAGAAGTCTTTCTGGTAACAACCTGTCTGCATTTTTGTTTATCACTCATGTCTGATTATACGATTGACCGACCAATAAATTTTGATATCCGAGTCAGTTGGAGTTTATGCTACTTCACACAAATTGTGTCTCTGAAATTTGTATCCCAGAGTTAGATGAAGATAAGGAAATAGATCTTGGGAGCCCTGTTACTATTGATTGTATGATTAATTTGTGCTTTTGAAATGTTAGAGATTTTGACGAGCCAGTGAATTCCATGATGCATCTTTCTTTGAATTTTTCATTCAGTTGTCTTCTAGAAACTATGTATTAGCTCATTTTGGGGAAGGATTTGAATTTTATGGTAATCAAAAGTTACTCTTTTTTCAAATACCTTCATTCTTAAATCTTGGCTAAGGTTTGAGATTAATGTCTTTAATTAGTTAATCTCAGCTGAGTCAATTGTAATAATCTTTTTTTTTTTTTTTTTTTTTTT